TTCCCCTCTCTTCTTCCTCCCTCCTCCTCCCCCCCACTTCCTCCTCCTCCGCCGCCGCCTCCCCTTCCCCCATCCTAAGGTATGCAGGACGCCTGCGCGTGAGCCCCACGTCGTCTAGGACTTACCCAGAAGGCAGCGCTCCACGCTCAGGTCAAAATGGCGGGCCGACCTGCAGGTAAGTGAACCTTCTCGGTTTGATTTTCCTACCGGCTTGCTCCCCTTTTGCTCTAAGTAGTCAGTGTGAGCTCTGACGGCCCGCCGAAGGCTCTTGTTTAGGCTTTCTTATCTGCGTTAAGTCCACACATTGGGCTGATGATTTTGTGCGCTCGGTTGCTAGAAACACTTTTCGTCACACAGTGGGAAAAACAGTGTGGCGTCCCAGCACAGCTCAAAGGACAGGTTTCGCTGAGCCGGGCCCGGGCAGCCTGCGGGTTCGAACGGGGACCTCTGCCCGAAGAAGCCCGCCGGGGCTGGACAGCGGGTTCGGCCTCCTCCCCTCGGCCTTAGGACGTCTTGGGGAAGTGAGGCGGTGAGAAGGTAGCGGAAGTCTGCCGCAGTGACCTGAGGGAGCACTTCGAGTCAGACGCTGTCCTCCGCGTTAGCTGCTTAAGTCCTACCGCTTCTGTTGTTTCACGCTGGTGACAGTGACCGGAGCAAATAGCGTTCTGACCCCACATTCAGCACCACGAGCTTCCGTCCAGTTAGAGGGAGATAAGATAGGTTTATGCTGAGGTATATCTGGAACGTGAGCTGGAGCTGCAGAGCTGGAAGGACTTGTGTTTACTGTAGGCACTAGAATATTGAAAACATTCACTTCAAGTAGTACCCCTTACCCTCCCCCCCCCCTTTTTAAAGCAAATCTTTGCCTTTTGGCGGTATAAATTGGAATAGCGTTTCAAAACAATACTGGTACCTTTCTCACATCCCTAGAAATTGTGAAGGTCACCCACTTGTCAAAATTTTAAGGAACCTTACTAAATTTAACGTAGTCAGCCTAGGTGTTGGTGCTTAATACTAGAGACTTGATTTCAACAGAGTTCAGATTGGCTCCCTTCCATAAGGCTGCTTCCTTTCCTGCAACAGACTTTTAACCTAGCTAATGTGGAAAGGGTGAACAGAGTAGTGCCTGGCACATTATACTTGTTAAATGAATATTAATCGTTGCATTGTGTACAGTTTAGCTCCTATGCGTTTGTTTGTAGTTTTTTTTTTTTACTCATTAAGTTTTATATTTGAATTTTTTGAGTCAGGGTGTCATGTAGCCCAAGCCAGCTTTGAATTCACTGGGTATTGAAGGATGACCTTGAACTTCTGATCGTTTTGGTAACCTAAAAATGCTAGAATTGAAGGAATGCACCACCACACCCATTTTATATGGTGCTGGAGATGGAACCCCCAGGGCTTTGTGGTGCATGTTAGGCAGGCACTGTACCAACTGAGTGATTAGTCCTTAACTGCTTTAATTTTCTCTTAGAAACTATTTTATACACAACTTTTAATTTCTGAGGTTGGACGAAGCCATGTAGTAATCTAAACCTAATCTTAGTAATCTTCCTAAGGAGTAGGAAGTCATAAGGAGCTAACTGAGAAGATAACTTGCTTTTCTCCTTGGTAAGAAACTAGCCCTAGACAAAATTTTAAAAGAAAATTTAGGGCATGATAAGAGAGCTCAGTTGATAAAGTGCTTGCCTTGCAATGCATGGACTTGCCTGAATTCAATTTCCAGAGCCCGTGTTGTTGGTTGGTTGGTTGGTTTTGTAATAATGCCTTAGTTCCAGACCAGCCAGTTACATGGTGAGCCCTGCCTCAGTAGCCCTAGTCCATGCTTTTAATGTTAGTGCTGGAGAGGTGGAGAGATGATAGGTGGATCTCTGGGACTCAGGTAGCCTAGTATACTTGTCAAGTTCCAAGCCAGTGAAAGATGCCATCTCAAAAATTAAAAAAAAAAAAAAAAGATGATTAGGACCTAATGTTGTCCTCTGGCCCACACTTGTCCCTCTCCCACCCCTCATGTTTTAAAAAGAAAGATTAGGCTTGTTGCCTTTACATCTGTCTTGTCAACATCAGGCACTCTCCTGCTTCCTTGACCTCTTCTTCTAGGTTACTTACTCATCAGGCTCAGCTTTGTTCCCCAAAAGTTATAAGTTGTTTTTGTTTGTTTTGTTTTTGTTTTTGTTTTTTTTTTCGAGACAGGGTTTCTCTGTGTAGCTTTGCGCCTTTCCTGGAGCTCACTTGGTAGCCCAGGCTGGCCTCGAACTCACAGAGATCCGCCTGGCTCTGCCTCCCGAGTGCTGGGACTAAAGGCGTGCGCCACCAACGCCCGGCTGTTTGTTTTGTTTTAAGGCTGAGCTATGTGTTCCAGCCCTTATTTTAGTTTTTGTTTGTTTGTTTATACAAGGTCTATAATTCACAATCTTAACTGCCTTGGCTTCCTGAGTGCTGAGGTTACATGTGTGCTCTGTTACAATAAATTTTAACATGAAGTATTTCTCCGTATTCTTGTTCAAATCCCTTGATGAACAGTTAGCTGTTTGGGAGGAGAAAAATCTATTGATAATTAAATTATTAAGTGCTGTTATAAAAGTTTTTCCAGAAATTATATTTCAAAGATGATAGCCAAATGAGATTATGAGAACTTTTATTTTGGAGACTAGGAGAAGCCTGTCACCTAACCTGAAATCTCATAGATTTACCCCCTTTGGAAAGAAAAACTAATTTCTGCAACTACAAATAGTAGAAATGCTCCAGGTCTCTTTCCTGTCCCTGATTCTTTCAGTTCTGATAGTAGCAGATGATGTCAGGGCAGAGGGCATTGGACTTTGAGAACCCAAAGTGTCAGGAAGTATACCTGTGGATGGATATTAGGCACCTTCAGTATTGAGCTCATGGTTTTCTCACATGATATCATAAGTGAAATAATTATCTATATTGTATACGAAGGGATATTTATTCTTAAATTTATAAGAGTTCTTTGGCTATTAATGCATTCGTCTGTAAGTGTAGCAACTAACAGTGTGGTAATTATAGTTGCAGCATCAAGCAAGTGGCTGGATGGTTTTCGAAAATGGTATTATAATGCTGCAGGATTCAACAAACTGGGTAAGTATCTGTTTTCTGTGGTCCTCTTGTTCTTCCTGAATGCAGTGTGTGTTCTTTCTGAATTTTTAAGAATTCTTTTTTTTTTTTTTTTTTTTTTTTTTTTTTTTTTTTT